AGAGAGGGGGGAGGGATGGGGGAAGGAGAGGAAGAGAGGGGGGAAGGGTGGGGGAAGGAGAGGAAGGGGGGGAACGAGGGGTCATTCAATATCTAGAATAAACAGGGTTTTGCAAAGGGCAAAAACAATATCAAGATAACAACAATAATAATAATAATTGTGAGCATTAATGATGTCTGTGCCACCTGGTGATCTCTTTGACCCTTAAGCTCAAATAAGTTATTCTCCCTCACAGTTGTTATTTACACAACTTGTATTTCCTTGCAAATCAGTTTACTTCATCTTAATCTCAACACAAGTTCACCCAGTGATATAACTTAGATGAACACAGTTACAAATAAACTGATACTTTGGGAGAAGTTGCAAGTTTATAATTTCTAGGAGGAAAGGGGTCATGTCAAGTCTGCCAGCTCCATTTCCCAAGTTCCTTCTACCTCACGGCTAATCCCCTACCATAAGTCTGTTCAAGGGCTGCACTTCTAACATGATTGAAACTGATTTCTGACAAAACTCACTTGCATGAAGCTTAGCATGATTCCACTAATGACTCCAGCATATTTCCTTCCTAATGTCTGAGGGCCGCTTGTTGTTGGAAACTGTTGAAAGAAAAAATTACAACTTGTTTATACTATAAATAAAATCTACTATGTACATTTCTCCACAATGAATAACCACAATGAATAACCACAGCCTTTTTTACCAAATTGTTTATACTCTTTCACAAGTATTACAGGTCAAAACAATAATAACATTTACATCACACATACATGTAGGAAGAATCAAGAAAAATGGACAACATAGAGAATTATGTTGTGGTTTGGACTAAAATTTTCATATTAGATAAACTTTGATTTTTCTTTGTTTTAGATCTATTTACAATTTATCTGAGACTGAGAAAAACAAAATTAAAATGGTTATAGCTAGAACAAAGTTGGCCTAAGACAGATTTTTACATAATCAACAACATTCCTTCACACTGTAGTCTCCAAAATCAATGAATTTGAGGGCAAGCATACGTGAAAAAACACAAGTTTCATATTTTTAGTACATTGTAAAGATTAGAGCACATTGCCCAAATCATAGGTATATGAAATAGTAAAAAACAAACAACAAAACTACAATTCTACACAACATTTTTCAGGTTTGTTAAGTTTTCAGCTGCCCAACAAAGCAGAAAAAAAAAGATGATACCTTGAGTCCTTTGAATCTAGGATTGTTGTTGAACATTTCCATTTGATCTGGGGGAAGCTGACCCAAAACCTAATGCCACAAACACAGAAACACAAAAATCAAGCCATTTTTAGTCAGTTATATATGGGAAAACCACAGTTCTTACAAAACTCCCACATCATTTGACAGATTTATGTACCAACCTTTTGAATTGTAAACAGCTGGTCTATTTCACTTTCTCCTGGAAAAACAGGCTGTCAAAAACCAAAAATAAGGAAAAAACAGAAAGGAAAATTGAAATCAAGAATTCTCCCTAAAAAGACTTTCCTACAACTTATAAATCAAATCAAAACAGTGGAGTCATTATCAAATTGGTTGGGATGGCATTCATCTAGTAAAATCCTATTCAACCATTAACTCGCAAAAGTTTCAAATTTGTACAATGGTCACAGCACACTTACAAATTACTTAATTATTACTAATTAACATGTTCAGAAGTAAACCAGTTTTTTTTTGTTTCCCAATTTTGTGAAAACACCCAGGAAATTTGAGGGTCCAGGCATCCCCTCAGGACTAAGGATATATGTATTCTAGAAAATTTACTCAATTTCCACCAACCTGCCCATCACTCAGTTCCCCAAGAATACAGCCAATGGCCCAGATATCAACTGGCTTACCATAAGAAGCCCTGCAAATTAGGTAGTGAATTATCAGAATCAAACATAATGTAATGTAAAGTATGTAACAATATACTGGGTCATTTCATGCAATATGCAACTACACAACCTTTATGCCTCAGATTTTCCCTCTGCAAAATAATGTAACATTACACTGATGAATGAAAAAATAATTTTCCATTTTCTACACCTACCCTAAAAGCAGTTCTGGTGATCTGTACCATCGAGTTGCAACATAATCAGTAAACTGTCCACTGCCCTTAACAGTCATGGCTCGGGCAAAACCTGCAACAATAAGGTGGTGAACCATTGAAAAATTCCTTTCCTGAGTTACTTCAGACTTATATGCCACATTCTTTTTGCATTCTATGGCATTATTAAAATTTCCAATTGTTTGAACTTACCAAAGTCACATAGTTTAAGAACCCCATTCTTACTTATGAGCAAGTTTTCTGGTTTGATATCTGTTGACAGAGAAAAGGAAGAAATTAGAGAATGAGAAGCAAAAGGATGGAATAAGTAATCACTTCAAATGGAACAAATTTTGAACAAATTGTATGTTAACAATCTGAAAGTGTTCAAGATTTGTATTACGATACTACTTCTGTCATTAGTCAGAGTACCTCGATGAATGACATCATTCTGATGGCACCACTTTATGGCTTTAATGAGCTGAAAAACATAGTTTCTAGAAGGAGGAAAATGGAAAAGAAATGTTATCAATGAATAAGAGGGAAGTTAAAAGTTTTAAGTTTGGGTTCTATGCCATGTCTTTTCAAGTTCGCATGAAGCTCACCTGACTTGATTTGATGGAACTCCATTAGGCATTTCTTCTAGTAACTCAAGCATGTTCTGTTCAATTAAAAGAGAAAATCAAAGTAAAGCTGATAGACCATCCTAGCTACCACTACACAGTATGGTTAAAGAAATGAATTTACAAATAAAAACTTCAAACATGCAAACTTACTCTCTCAACATATTCAAAAACTAAATACAGTTTTCCTCTTCTACGAAATGCTTCCCTGCAGAAAAGAAATAAAAGAAGTAAACAAAGGTGCTAAAGTAACAACCCTCTAACAACCATGATCTGATTCATAACTCTCCCATCCAGTTGGTTTACATTTCCTTCTAAATCAGTGACAAGAATTTGGAGCTATAACAGCTGGGATGGCACCCTCCATCTGATGATTTTGTGTATTTTAATTCACCTTGAGCAGAGCATGGACAGAAATTACAGGCATACAAGAGTTAGCTGTTACAGTTGTTACAGCTGTACAAGTTATCTCCAATGGTATTCAATAATCACAGATAATATTATACACCCCAATATTGGAGGCTTCAGAGAAAACAACCAGCCATTTAATTTGAGCAAGGTAACTAATTTCTGCTCCCGGAATGCTTGAATTAAAGCAGAATCTTGAACTTAGAAGTTTTTTTTTGTGAAGCTCACTAATTACTTTGAAAAGTTTTAGTACTATTCATAACAACATCTGATCTCTCTATTTTGTCAAAACATTACACAATTGATGAAGATATATCCCTCCTCCTGGATTAAGTATTAATGTATAAATAATCAAAACTAACCTGAGTTCTACAATGTTTTCTTGCTTCAACATGCGAAGCACTTTTAATTCCCTCAGTGTTGTTCTTTTAACATCCTCATTTTCTGGTGGAATATGTCAAACACATGTACCAGAAGTTTAATTTAGAATAAATGAAACCATCCAACAAGATGGTTAGCAATAATTGACAGGTAAATGTCATTAAAAGGCATTCTTTGTTGAGATTGTGATTGTGGAGATTTCATCAGACAGCACAATCAGTGAAAGGAGTTCGGTCATGAATACAATAATAATGTCATAAGAGGTTTTTGCCTTAAACCACTGCCAGGCTCATGATTAACCCATACAACTTTACCATGGTTACTGCAACATTCATTAATTTCAAAACTGTCTATAGCTAGGTGACCATTATTGGAAGTGATGTTTGCTTTAACTAAAGACCAACTTAATAAACCTTAGTGTCCTGAAATAAACCCAAATAAAATCCTCTTTTTTTTGCAAGCCAGATATGCATCAAAAATATATTATGATGTGAAATAATTGCACCAACCAGCTGTCACCAATAATTAACCACCTTCCCAATACAAATACTTTTAGTGCCCTTTCTTCATTCAACCAGGAGAAAGGTGCCAAATCAATGCAAACACTTAGTTCAGCAAATTGCTTATTAATGAATATTTAAAAAAAAAAAAAAGGTGATTGAATTTGAATATAGTTCCTATATTTATACCTTTGTGCCACCTGCATGTATTTTTACTTTGCATAAAATTTTCCACACCAACTTTATTTGTTTCTCTTTTCTTCAGATTATACCAAAGAGAAAAAGAGAAATAAAATTCATGCCGGTTTGGAAAATTTTTAACATCAACAAATAGATGTCTCCATGGATGCTCACCTTCGCTGTCTTTGAATTTCTTGATGGCCACAATCTCATTTGTTTCCTGCAGCAGATTAAAAAAAGAGGATGCATCAGAGGGTTATGTCCACAAAGTAAACATTTTTTTATACTTATTGAAATGATAAAAATAAAGTGGTTGTTATTGTATGGTCTTCAAAATGTTTAGCTGCCTTCAGAGTCTTCTCAGAGCATGAGAAATATAAACCAGTATGAGGAAATCATAGAATTAATGCCATTCTACTTTCAAATTGGATTCAAGATTGTCATAAGTTACTTTCAAGCCCAACCTCTTTCCAGTGGTTACCCTCTAACTTTAAACCTAAATGAAATCTCTAGACAGAGGAGTTACTAGTCATAATAAACAGTGTTCTCCCTTTTTACAAGCAAGATTTAAAACCAATAAGGCAACCCTTCAACCCATTGAACTTTTAAGAATTCTAAGCAATTTTAGGCAGTAATAAAAAGTATTACAGGCAGTGAATATTACTGTTTATAGCCTGAAAAGGAGAACACTGCCCAGAACAAAAACGTTGCCACTTGAATCTTCTATTTCTCAACAATATTTTATATTTTTATCATCCTTGCAAAGTAAAATGCCTGTATTGATCCTGACCCATTTGATAACACTTTTAATAGAGAAATTTCTATTTCTCATTCAAGAACTTAAAGCCTTGTTTCTTTTCATTCATCAAGATAGTGGGGATCACTGTTCATGGGAAACTTATAGAGGAGACCATTGTATCATATATAGATACAAATACTATTAACATTATCATCCCAGCAACCTGCATCAGAGGGTTATGTCATCATAACCCTCTGATGTCTGGGTAGTGTTTCCATAACATTGTCCTAGTTGCCTCTAGATTGTTTATATGATGAATAGAGACAATCCTCGTGATCACATTTAGACAGTTGGAATAATCTCAGGTAAAAGGTTTGCAACTACTGATGTACAGCAATATGTAACTTTGCCAGCTCCCTGCAAGAATTCTCCCCTTATGCTGCCATATTATCAATTGCCATGCAAATGTTGTGTTGGTTTTATGAGATTTTCCTTTGCAATGAGCAAAGCCGCTCCGCACTTCTGGAAAATCACTAGCACAAGAACACCAAACCCAAGCAACTAAACAAACAAATTATCCGAAAAGTAAACATGCAACACTGAACTGTTCGGGCTACCGAACGACTCCTTTTAGCATATTCTTGTATTGGCCCCTGGATTTTGAAGGACATCTCTCAAATATTGAGTGATTTGGTAACATGATCCCAGAAGGAAATATATCTATCAATTTACGTGCTTGATGAACCAGCAATCATCAGCCTGCTTAACCTTTATAACACGTTGATCTGTATATTTGATTTACTGTCATAGCTGAGCTGTGAGATGGAAAAAGAGCTTCCGTTACCTTGTGCCTGCATCTTAAAACCACTCCATAGGCTCCTAACAATACAGAAACAAAAACGGAGATGTTTAACTCAAATCTGAACCAGTTAAACCCATATTTAGCAATACAAAAACAATCATTTGCGGCACAAAACACTGTGGGTTTGACATTCCTTCAACCCAATTTTAATTTCATTACCATACGGATAATAACAAGCTTACATCAAAGACTACTTACCTTCGCCTACAACTCCAAGGACTTCGTACTTATTCATCTGTGTTTAACAGACATACTGTAGGAATATTTAATAATTGATCTTCGCCTGCCGTTAAAATAACGTGTATGTCGCTTCCCAAGAAACGAAAACATATCTTGTAAAGCATCTCCCATTTCAGGAAGTGCGTGTAGTGCGTTTTACAAATATCACCATGGGACATACAGAAAAATCCATCAATATTACTCTCAACAAAAGGTTGTCGTTTTATATGCCGAAAGTGTGTGGTTTTTGATACAAATTTTATCACATATTTTTCGTCACGGTAACCAACAAAACGAGGGTTGTTATTTCGTTTCCCATGATTCCCGCTAAGGGGTAACGACTGAAATTCCTTTCCGATGACGTAGTGTTCGCGTGACGTCGGGTAGTGCCCGGGTACGGGAGAAGTAAATTGTATCTCTTGTGAGTTCAACAAAACATACATTTGGGTTGAAAAAGCAGAAGGAAAATGAGCTTTCGTGATTTTGATGACGACAGAATCTCACCTATGCCTCAGATTTGATTACTGCGGTTTTCTCCCTTCGATATTCCACCAGTATAGGACAGTATATTAGAGAGATAATTCTTTACGATTTCTTCCCTGCAACTCCACACGGTAACATTAAAGTATAGTTCTCAATATCCTGAAAGAAACTAAAATCCATGAATTGCAGCACTGGGTAACTAGCAGGGCTATTAAACCTCCATCTACATTCTAAGAGTATTTTCTCCCCTTTTAATTTACAATAAGTAGTAAACTTGATGTGTGTTGTCTAAATCTATCCCTTCTTATTGCGCAAATCGGCCCCTGACTTCAATGTAGAAATCATGTCTTTTGTCATTTTATATTTGGTTTATCGTGAAGATGTTTTACTCCTTTGGTCCGTGAAATTCTTGCTCAAGTTAACCCTTTTTACTCCTAATATCTCATTAGTAATTCTCCTCAGTGACTACCATACAAGTCATATGTTGTTAGTTCTGAGAAGTTGGTTTTGGATCAACTATTTATCGCCTAATTGATAACTTTCTTTATTCCCATCACTTGTCTGCTCGGTGTTGTATTGATATAAATGGGAGAATTACTCTCTTGGTCACTCATGGGAGTTAATAAATTGGTTAGAGGGAAAGAATATCATCCAGGTATCAGTGGGTATCAGTGAATTCGATATTCCCGCTTCAGCGCCCACAGTATGCACCACACCCAAGCTACGCATGCACAAAGTACTGTTGTCATCTCTAACGAAATAAGCCTCTCGTGAAAGAAAAAACTTTGTTATGTGTCCCAATATAAGGTAGTTGAAAGGTTTGCTTCTCTTCGTAATCATCTTTTAGAGGAGGAGAAACAACATGTCGAGGGAAAATCTACACGTAAGTAGCATGTTACACTTTGTTCAGGTATATTTTTTACTCTAAACCGATTATGGGTCTATTGTACGTTTGCGTTCATAGCCTGCTTTCCTAAATCTGTTCAGCGCTTTCTGTCAGATCTTTGACAAGCAGTGGATAATTTTGCCTGTTTTGTTGAGACAGTTGTAAGACCTTCTGTGAGAAATGTTCGAAGGGAATGTGTCGTAAAATCACTTCGAACATTTGAACTTTGATGTGGCGTGGGGCGGAATTCTAATTTTGAGCATAACTTTCTTTTGCATGTTATTCCTCACTGAAATAGTGCCTTCTCTACTCTTGAGGAATTATCTGTGTCGTTGAAACTGCTTATTCACTAGGGAATGGCTACCACTGTCAGAAATCCATCTAATTTAGCCATCATGAATCGTATACAGACGCTTCGATATGCATGAGTTGCATGTTTACAACCGTTGAATCAACTTTTAACAGATACATGAATGTCCGGATTTTTCAAGTGTTTATGACCGCAGGGTTTCTAGTTATTCCATCCGTGAAGCAGTTATTGATATCATTTTCGACGCTCATTGCATTTTTTTTACCTCTGTTGTGGCTTTATGATTAAATAAAAATTTTCAACGTTTTGTGTGAACGGTGCATAATTTTGCTAATACCCATGAAGGTGTGACTTAGCATACCGATGTGATCGATTAGCAAAATTCTCTGGCGCTCATTTTCATCACGAAATTTTTGCTTGAAAGTGATTTTCAATTACTGTATCAGATATTGGGTGGGTTATCAGTGATCCAACATCACCCACTAAATTAATTTAACTCATTCCTACATATGAGCCAACATCCATATTTTGAAGATATCATGCAAGTATCAAGAAGGAAATTACTTGATACTGATTTGAGAAGAACCAATTTTTTTGACATTTCTTATAAACCCAAGAGTTAAAATGCAAACTGTGCTCTTAATTTAAATTAAACTTTAAAGTTTCAAGAACATTTTTAGTAAAACTTATGCCAAGACAAGATGTAAGGGAAAAAAAAAATTACTTTCAAATTGATGATACAAGAACCTATATGCAATGAGTTTGGGGGAGGGAATTGATAAATGATGATAAATTATCTTACTTTTTCAAACAGTTTTCTTAAGGAAAGGAAAGGTAATACATCATTATTCAAATTTCTTTTATCTAACATTATTCAGTTACAATCATGGTACTACACTTCAGGCATTGTTTGAGTATTTAGTAGAAAAATCTGATAATTAGGTACCATAAGTCTGCATAGGGCAATATCATAATTTTTAATGAATTAAATTTCATTTGACTCGGGAATGAAAATTAATTAAAGAAATGTTCCTGAAAAAAAAATTTCAGGCTTCTTTTCTGTTAATTCTTGAATTGCAACTCACTTGTATAGATCACTGTTCCACTTGATTAGGGAAATGCAATTATCATGTAAATATCTGTAAAGGTTTGATTGATTTACTTAATTCTTCCTTCTTTCCTTGAATTCAAACCTTTCCTTGAAGTCAAGGTGTTTACTAGTTCATTTTACCAAAGATACAGTTGGTAAATGTTTTAGCCAGTACCTTGATGAACCATATATTTTAACTATTACTACTTTTTTACAATTGTGAAGTTCTGCTCACCAGGAAATTTATAATCAAGAGCACAAAAATCTAGTTATTTAAAACACAGCTTTTCAGAAAAGACAGTGCTTTTCACTCTGAATTGTTTCCCTTTGTTAAACACCACATTTTCTTTCCTTCAGAGAAGAGAGAATGCCAAGGCTCGCACTTCTATGCGAGAGAAGCTGGTAGAGAAACAGAAAGCAACAGATGAACATGAGAGCAACTTTACAGCTGGTCGTGTTAATGTGCGAGAGAGATATCTGCACCGCACTGGAATAAGAGGGAGAAAGAGCTGGATATTCTATGCTGTTTTGTACATTCTAGCTCTCCTTGTAATAGTCAATATTGTGGTGAGTGTTCATAGGCTTGAAAACCAAATGATTGTCTTCTATTGATATAAAAGGGATGGATATGCCAGAGACATAAAAAACTTAAAGATTGGTATCACCTAAGGGTTTTCTTACTTTAGGTGAACATAGTATTACTGATGAGGAAATCTAGTTGAAGGTCAGAGTACAGGGTTTTAACCTTTTAACCCCCCTCCCCCAAGAGTGACAAGCATCTAATTTCTCCTTACAATATCACCCTTGAATCAAACATTAAAGTCATGAGAAGTAAGGACATGATCATCAACTAGAGAAGTTCTTGATTGTTAACCAAGTTCTCTTTTTCAGCACCTAAGGACATGTCTGAAGAATAGTAAGGAGAATATACATACTGATGTTAGGGTGGCAAGGGTTAATTAGATAACTAAACTCTCTGAGGATAAACAGGTTAAAGCCAAGGAGAGAGTGTCATGACATGATCAACAAGTGGCATGGAAAACATACTGACTGTAAGGGAAGAGTTTAATAAAGGGTTGGATAGCGCGGTGGCCTCATGGTTAGTGCGCTCAACTCTGGATTGAGTGATCCGGGTTCAAGCCCTGGCTGGGGTCATTGTGTTGTGTTCTTATGCAAGACACTTTACCCTCACAGTGCTTCTCTTCACCCAGGTATACAAATGGGTACCAGCAAATGTGCTGGGGGTAACCCTGCAATGGACTAGCATCCCATCCAGGGGGGAGTAGCAATACTCCTAGCCGCTTTATGCTAGGAAAACCGGAGTTAAGCACTGGCCCCATGGACCACTTGGGCCCATATAAAGGCTTACTTTTGGATAGAAAGCATGAATATGTACACACAGTGGGAACTATTATTAGAGCTGTGATTTTTCATTCTTCTTATTTCACATAATTTTATTATTCATTCCTTTCACAGATGCTTGCCATTTTGTATCATGTCTTGCAAATGAACAAAGATGGGATGAAGTGCTTGTCATTTTTTGAGAATGATGACATTCGATTTCATTGTGAGAGTGACATGGACTCAGTCAGTTTGTATAAGAATCAAGCTGGAACTTTTAAAGACCACAACTTGGTTATTGACAGTGATGACAAAAAGGTAATTTATGTTATTAGTAAACCACCAAATTTGGTACAAAGTTACCAAAAATCTTAAAATCATAAGATGATCACCAACAGGAAGAGTTTAGTCTCCAAATAAACCAAGATGAAACAACATGGGAAAAGATGACATGAGGAATCATACTGCTTTTATAAATTTTGTCTTTGGAGCATCAACACAAAGTGTGTAAAATTTGTTTTATACTCACCATGGCAACTAAAATGGTTGCAACTCAGGGGGGCTGTCGTCAAATGACTGTTTTAGTTCATAGTTTTAATTCATATTGATACAAATTATTATAATTTTTTTTTTTTTGATCTAGATTATATTCCATGGAGGGCCTACAACAGCATCTGCACAAAGTAGGTGTAACTTGAATTTGATATTACTAAATCACAGATAACCTCATCCTAATTATGGAATATATACCAGTTTTGTTTTGGATCGTCAAAAATTGATCAGGAGACTGATGAGAATGGAAAAATACAGAAAAAATTTGAACGTATAACTGACAGAGTCTTATTAATGGTTTGCCTGTTGTTCAGTGCACGTAGGTGCAGATATGACTGAAATCCATGCTAAACATGGCTTCAGATTTGTGGACCCTTATGTAAAGAAGACCATCCTGAACTTGAATGGAAGTGTGTGGTATGTTAATCCAGCCTCCATCAATGCTTTCACGGTTGCTGGAGATGCATTGGTTACCCATCGGGTAAGAGAGCATACAACTTTACAAACTAATTTGGAGAAACTATTTTTTTAATTAATGAAACTACAGTTCAGTTACTCTTTTTGGGAAAAATTTATGGCTTCCCTGAGAAAGAGAAATAAACAGGTTTTGCAACCCAAGTGCAGCAACCACTTTCTTAATTTTTGATGTCAGCAATAATCGAGTGAACAGTGTACTCTTGACAGGAGATTTTTAGGTGCTTGTCTTTGGGAATGTTGATATATGCAGGTTTTTAGTTCTGTTGTTATTTTTTCCAATTAAAAACAAATTTTTCAATTATTTATTTACCAACCTCAAAAGTTACTATCTGGCCTACTTTCCATGCCGGACACATGCTGATCCTAGTAATAGTAGTTGAATTTTTCTCATTCAAACCTAGTAACTTGTCAACAAGTTCCCCAGATCTCAGTTGAGATAGGATTGTGCAACCAAATTGGAGCAGTAAGGGGCTCAAATACAACTAGGGATGCAGATATGTTTGCTCATTCTCTTTTTATAAGTACACTATCTATGCTTTTTTGTCAGGTTGTCAGTAATGAGGACCAGAATTTGACTTTGACCTCTGAAAAGAGCATTTCAGTGGAGGGACATGAAGGGCTAGTTTTGGATGGAAAAATGACTAACTTCAATGCTGATGAGGATATCGAAATTTCCTCCGTCTTGGTAATAATATTGTTTTCACCAGAGGGTCGTTGAATTGTGCTCTTTGGCAAGAGAGCAAGATAGCAGTCATAAGAAAATGTTGGTTATTAGGCTAGTAAAACAAACCTGAAACCAATTTCTTTTCATTTTCTCACTTTAAAGGGTTCACAAGGAAAGGCTACGATTACGTTTGATGCAAGCAGTGGGGTCTATGTGAATGGAAATGCACTAGACATGCCGACTGCAGCCCCAGGCAGTTCTTCAGGGAAATACAAGTTATGTGCATGTATAAACACGGGCAAGCTTTTTCGTGTGGAAGTTTTGAACTCGACTTTCTCGACATGTTCTACAGTGGAGATTGTTTGTGGATAATGACAACAGTTGTTGTCTGGAAAAGAACTTCTCTTACTCTCGTTTATTGACTAAATTACGGTTAATTCTGTAGGAGGTAAAAAAAACTTGGTAAGAATATGTAGTTGGTTAAAGGATGGTATGAATAGAGAGGGTAAAATATTGATATGAACTGCACATGGCTCTCTAGTGGTGCTGCTTTTTAAACGGCTCGTTTCCGTGTTTGAGACGTTGGTTTCAGTATACTGAATAATAGATATTGAAACACGTTGAAAGAAAACGCGAACGGCAAACGATCATCTACGATCTGTATGATTGTTTTTTTCCTCCAACCTTAAATAATTCTCACAAAGAAGTAGAAATTTTCTAAATGTCCTCATATTTTTGCACCGACGCCCAAAAGGCAGGGAGAAAAAGCTTGTAATTTCTAGCAGTTTGCCGTTTGCGTGAGGTTATCTTAGATAATCTCTCTAATGTTTTGTTACTGGTAAATATTTTATACCTGGCTCGTAAAATGCTGTTTTTCAGTAACGCTTGTATTTTTCTATGACGGAATGAAATTGGAGAAATCTGCCAAGTCATAGTCAGTTAAAGCATGTAAAATAGCTTAGCACCTATTTATTACCTGTACCCCCTAGGACGACGCTCTTGGCGGCTACAAAGTTAGTTTTGTCTGTGCTTTAAGTTAACCAGGAGCACATTTGATACGACTGGACCAGTCCTTATTCATCGAAGGATCCTGCCCCCCACTCATTTGCAGTCAATTGGCAGTATATTTTGTATATTCGCCCCCAAATCCTCCACCGCTCCCTAGCAGAAAAAAATGTGGTATTTAAGGTAACATAGAGAGATGCCTTAAATGGGAATTGGAGAATGGAAATAGTGGGAGGGGACTGTCGTTTTCCACCATTTCTATATCTCTTCTTATTTTTAATAGTTTTAGGCTCACAATTATGAAAATTTAGCCAAAACGTAGCTTTGTTCCTGTTCTGGAGTAGAGGGTTGTCCTGGGGTATGGTCTCTCTTGACGATGACTGTTTTGCTGCTGTGCTAAAGCATACTATTACAATGTCAATTAGAGTGCTTCAACTTTGGGATAACTGACTACTATACAGACAGTTTTTTACTCGAGCAAGGCATTTTTACATCTTGTAAACAGAAGAAGAGCTTTTTAAAGTATACTTTTCTAGTGTTGGCGACCGCGTAAGACCCTGGAGTTTTTTTACTTTGATAAAAACAATAAAGGTGTGGAAGTACGAAGCAGTGTTATGTCCTCTATAATTGTTCGTTCGGCTTCCGATGACTCTTAACTTTCAAAGGAAGTGGAAAAAGGTTCAGCTATCGGGATTTCAAGTCATCGGGAAATACATTAAATAAACAGAAATAAGAGAACACTGTGTTCACTGAATTTCTATTCATAGAAGGGGTTAAGTGGCAAAGCTGAAATTGTAGTTGACTGGGCAACAGGCTTCGAGCAGTTTAAAATGAGTTTCTTTCTATGCCCGAGGAAAAAAAATATTACACTTAATCGTTTACACAGCAACGTTTATTAAATGTTCAGCATTTTTGATTGGTTTTCAATTCAGAATGGTATTTCTTTTATCAAGAACATTTACGGTAAATCATAAGTAGATATGATGTGAAACAGAAACGTGTTTTAATTTCCATTTGTCTCGCGTTTTGGCCAGTAAGAGTCGAAATGGTTAAGTTTGTGATATGTACGCCAAAGATAGTGAAGATTCCTTTTTGAACAGTTAATATTTTTTTGACAATCCTCGGAGAATAACCGTTTTTTCCTGGGTGCGGAGTCAAATCGAGAGCGGCTCTCACAGAGACAATCTTGATGACTTTGTATAAGGCTTTAACAATATAACCTTAAGAGACTCAAGACACGTTAGAGAAAAGATGAAACTTTATTCTTTATAACAATGATAAATTTAATCTCAACTGTGCTCTTTATATAAAATATACAGTGTTTAAAACTGAGGTATACGAAGTACAAATGTAAAATTCATCCAATTCTGGATTACAAACATTCTTCCATGGAAGGTTACACTCTAACAATAAAAGAATAGATTTACTTCTACAAAAGGTAGTAATACTATGTCAGAACGATTTTCACTAAGATACAAGCTTTTTATTGACTATGTGATTTCCCTTTACAATAATATGGCGTTGTGACGAGTACAAAAAAATATTTAACCTAGAGATATTAATAGGTTTAAAAGCAAATTCTCGAAGCCAAAATCTTACGAAGTATGTGGTAAATGCTGAAGAGAATGGGTTTAGCCGCTGACACACTTCGAAGTTTCCCTTGGTGAAGGTAAAGGTTCCCTCTTAAGCCTAACTGAAACCTCCTCAAAGACACTTATCAAGCAAAACCTTTCGGAAAAGCAGAACTCATGGTCTCCTTGACAACTGTCATTGTCAGGTTATTTACTAGTTTAGAACCCAGACCTTTCACGGCCAAGCAGTTGCTAGGATCCTTCATTTCAGTAGCAGTTGCTCGATAGGATCTCGCTAAGAGGATTGTTATTTACTTCAACAAGTTTCGTCCTCAACAAGTTAGCCCCTTATTTTCGAGAACTGAACAAGCATGTCAGTTTTTGAACTAGAGTACTTGTTAGTGAAAAACTCGTCATAATTTTCATTTCATGGAAACCCCTCTAGTGTAAATCCGGCTTTGAATGTCGTTTGGGCTACTGAACAACTTACAGCGATAGGTGATCGTTGGTGGTAGAAAAAAATGCGTTACGATACGAGACGTGATTAAGAAATGTACGTGTCAAACATCGTGATCACCTTCGGGAACGCACGTTTTTGTAAAGTCAAAATTCTGCTATTTAAAGTCGTAAATAACACACGTTATTCAAATTGAGTTATAAATAGGACATGTGATTATTCAATTTTTCCTCTTTTTAAATTGTTAACTTCCCAAAAGTAATGAATTAAAAATTCTAAAGCCATTTCTTCCCTCTTCACTATTAGCTAAACAGGTAAAATATGTAAAACCCGATGGCGTTGCTTTGCCGCGCAAACATCGCGCTCTCAACGGCTTCGAAGAGAGGGGCGAGGTTAAAAAAGATAAAAACCAATCGAATGCAGAATAGCCATTCACAGATGATAATCAAACTCAAAGAAAACACTTCCCACATCATCTCACTTCCTGAGAGCAAAAGCTTTTTCTGAATTATTGTTCCCGTTTAGTTTCCCTAAACTTTTGCACGGCCGCGTTACTGCTCCTGTGCAAACGATAGGTTCAGCTTTGTCACCCAAAAAATTCAATATGGCGTCTCCAACACCTGCTGGAAGCCTAGAGACCCAAATCCAGAGGAGCTTAGCATCCCAGCCAACCATGTACCTGGTCTTGGGATATCTTGACGTCAGTGAGTGAACAATGGCGTCGACTACTTTGTACAGGTGGGGTGAGGCACATGTGTCTACCATTCCTGTTAGCATGTTCTTAACGCCTGGAATTAAAATAAAACAAAAACATTAGTATAATGAAATAGGCGTTAAGGTAATAAAATTACACTTCATTTAGAACAGCAAAGTTGCACTTGTTGACAGAAAGGTGTTAGCGTAGAAAACTTGCTCGTGACACTTTTCAAAGAATATCAGCAAGAGTGTGGTTCTCATTATAATCTTGAACAGTTTCCTGGACGAGAGAACTTGCCAAGTCATGTAATAAACAACATGGTCCAAATCTCGTTGGTCTGGGATAGGGCTTATAGCGTTAGAAGACCAAATAACAACTTGAAAGATGGTTATGGCGGATTGAACGCATTGTGTTCTGAGGCCAAACAAAATAGCAGCAACGATGGAGGCGAATGTTTCTTCGAAAACTCTCCCTCCTCGAGACCTGGCACAGGGAAAGCATGGGCAGGGATACTAGTCAAAGGAAACCTTGTCATACTTTTCTAGCTGTCAAAGGAAACTGTAAAGCTATGGCGTTATTCTGCTAGTCAGTGAAACCATCAATTCCGATGCCAGAAAGTGGGGCGCATCACAAAACTTCTAAATTTTTGAGTTATGTCTTGCCCTCAAGGTAATTTGAATAATCAAATGCGCTTTAAAGAAAATATATATTTAGTTAGCGATAGCGAGTAACAACTCTTGCAGCAGAACTCCTAAATTTTCCGCGTTAAGGTCTTTCAGATGTTCACTAGCGTCATACTTGTTGATAGGATTAAGTAAATTAAATCTACTCACTAGTTTCGTAGAACTTCTCCCCGTACTCCTCTTTTAAACTGTGGCTCAGGTTGGTCCAGAGATCCTGCCATTGACCCTTGAGGTTGTCGGGATTGGTGATTTTTGTCTGAAAAAAGCCTGGTTCCACAATGCTGACCTTGACACCAGTCGGACCCAGTTCACGACGGAGAGCATCCGAAAATGCCTCTACACCAAACTTGGAAATGGAATATGCTGATGCGTGAGGTAAGCACGTTCTACCTGCAGAAAGCAGAACGAAGAGTATGTTTTTATCTTGTTCTGTGAGGTGAATATTCGACTGAGTTGCATGATACCAAAGTAGTTCCAAGTTTTAAGGATATAAGGATTTTTCAAGTTTGGAACTAGGCCGTCCCCGGTCAGTCAGTGATAAAACAGTGTGTCGTTTGATCATCCTTAAGGAAGGTTACTGAGTAGCAGATTCATGCAATTTATTGCTATCATAGAGCCCTCTGCTTTTCAAGATTCTTTGAAATTTGCTCGACTTTCTCACCTCCGATACTAGCGAGGTTTATGATGCGTCCTCGCTCCTTTTTGACCAGCGGTAAGAACACCTTGGTGACATCAATCAGTCCCCAAAGGTTCACATCTGCGATTTGTTTAAACTCTTCAATAGTCTGCCACTCGATCGGTCCAACTTTAGCGATGCCAGCGTTATTTATCAGACCCCACAAACCTGCAAGATATGACGCGATTACTTCGACCCTTTATACCTGAATATAGACTACGAGCAGTCCCTCCTTTTTGGTGAAGTCCGTCGGGAGAGTAAAATAAATCAGTGAAAACATTTGATATTAACGCGAAGCAGGAAACTCTGGGAGTGAGGCGCACGAAAAGTTCCGCGTGGCGCGCTAACCTTTTTCTTTCTTTTCCCTTTTTTTCCTTTGACTCATGCGACCAAATTCACCGAAAGGGAGGGTTTGCCTGTAGTCTAACCTAAATTTGTATAAACTAAATGTTTGATTCAGGAAAAATAATATCATGGTCACTTTTTAGGGATTAACGGAATTCACAAAGATCCTTTAAGAGTGGGTATAGTATTGCAGTGAGAAGAATGGGGCGTGGGGATGATTTTTCAAACAGGAGGTCATGGTTAAAAATTTCCGCGCACCTTCTGTGAAGCAGCTTAGACCACTGTTCTACCTTGCGTATCAGCGAGCTTGTACTCACGCAGCAGATGGAACATTTACTACAAGGAAAGATTTGTCTCATACAGATTCTTCGGACTTTCGCGTTTTCAGAACCAGATTTATGAAGCTGGTGTGTTGTTGACTTTTAAAAAAAGTTGCCACATAGAGGTA